TTCAACTCTTGTAGAAGCTCTTTGAAGCGTTTCTTATAATCCCTCTTACCTTCCAAATCCTGTAGCACTTTTTACTGGCCAAATTACACGTGCTACCTGCGCCTTAGGTATGTGTGTGTATATCTCTTCTCACTCAGTAGTTCATGATGATTTGGAAGATAGGAGTTGTGCCTTCTGTTATCCCTGTGCTTCACATATTGAAGATGCTCAAAAAACATTATTAAATAAACAAAAGCTCTTCTGCTTTATACTTCCTTTATTTATTATACCTAGCTATACCTTGAAGTCTTACACTGTCACTGCTACACCTATAAATAGATCTCTACATAGAGACCTGAAATAGCAAATAAAAATCTGATCAGACTCCTGTTCTAATACTACCTCCAACTCCACTCTGGGCTTCTTCACTAAAATACAGGTAGCATTATCCTCTGCGAATACTGAAGAGTTATAGAGAGGTTATTCAAATCTTCGGTGTTTGCTTTGGAATGCACTGGGTTGGGAAACACTGAGGAAATTTTCATTCAGATCTATTTCAGATCCAGAAAATCAAACTCCTACCTTCCCCCCACTCTTGTCTCTCTCCTCACAATGTCCTAAGGCCTCAGAGTATAGCACAGTCAGTGTGTTTCTGGGGTGGAGGTCATGACACATGGGCTCTGTTGGGACAGTAGGACTGACCAGTAAGTGATCAGTGGCCCTGCCCTGTCTCTGGTCTAGCTGCTGATTCAGAACCATGGACAAAGCTAAAGACAGGAAGTCAGGTTTGCCTTCCTTTGTCTTACCAGCTCACCTGTACTTCCAAGGCCCAAGAAGCTGATAATCCTTTTCTAAAGAAGCCAAAGGAGGGAATCAACTGGCACTAAGCTCCCCCTCCCCATTGGGAATTTCACTCTTTAAATCATAAATCGGTCCCTCTAGCTATTTAAAGTGACCTACACAGAGAGAGTTCTCTTTTCTCAGAGAAGAGCCCTCATGCACAAACCAGGCTGACACTTGTCCACTAATTGCCTCCCACTGGAATTTAACTTATTCATGGGCCTCATAAATTTCAGAGGCGCCTTATATTGTCATTTTACTGTATATGGGCTTGTTCAAATCAATATTATATGAAAAAATATATATATATGTATATATATATATGTGTATATATATATATATAAAATCAGTGGAAAAAAAAGCCATGATATTCTCTTCTTCCTGTGAGTATTTTTTTAGTACACAAATTTTATATTCTGCCTTTAAAGCTATTTCTGCTGCACAGCTGCTTTACTGAGACTCAGACTCCTACAGGCCCCACTTGGTCCGACACGTACCTTGAATATCTTTTCACAGTGTTTGATTTCTGCAGTCGGTTGTATAATGAGGAAGGAGTGTGCAGTTAGGTTGTAGATTCCTATTAACCAGGTCACCCATGAATCTATTTTTATGCACTTCTTTATTAAAAATAGCAGAGAACACGATAATATTTAAACACAACTACTTATAGGAGCCTAGCTTCAAAACTACACCTAATAAGTCTTCTCCCATTTGGCATTTCAAAATGTTGTACTACATTTTCCCATCACCAAAGCACCACTTCTCCATTTGCATTCCAGGATGTGAATAGAGAACATTACAAATGACAATGGATATTTTGGATAGTCATATGAATTTGTGATTCTCTGCCCCATTTACACCACATCTGTAGTGTTTCATTATGTTCTTGGCACTGCCTTTGAATATGGCCTATAAAGAGATAAGCACAGACCAAGATGGTAAGGCAGGACAGGGAGTGGGAATAGACAGAAGAGAGCTATCTTTATACACTTGAGGGAGGACATCTCATGAAAAAGGAGAGTAAAATTGTTCTGTGTTGTACCCAAAGACAGAATCAATGAGTGAAATCTACAGTGGTACAGATTTTGATGCAACCTAAAAAGTACCTGACAACTAGAGTTGCCAGACTCTCTAGAACAGGTTGTCATATGAGATAATGAGTCTCCAGGAACTTCAGGTGCAGGACTCTAGGCTGCCTGGGCTATCTTCCAAGACCAGTGCTTCCAGAAAAACATACCCACTTCAGCTGCGAGAATCAGTGGTCTTTACCATGGTTCTGGGGGCATTGAAAAACCAGAGGTACTGTAGTATTAAATCACTTAATATGAATGCCCAATGGGCCATGGCAGCCAAGGTCAAGGTAGAAAGTGAGTTTGGAGTTGTTAAGGCAGGCATTCTTTACACAGCTATTTAGATGGTTTCAAAAATCCCTCAAAATGGACCACAATCTTTCATTTTGTTGCTTTAGTCAAGACTTGGCCACTCCTGGTTGAAGGTTGAGACTTCAGGACTCTATTCCAACATAGCTCAAGACAACTCTCGAAACAAGACCATAGCAATGAATCGTAGATGAAGCTGCACCAAATTCACAGAAGATCAATTGAAAATCCTCATCAAAGTGTTCAACCAAAAACCTTACCTAGGCTGCACTGTAAGCAAAAGCTTGTCTTAGAAATCAACACTGAAGAGTCTAGAATCCAGATTTGGTTTCAGAAACAAAGAGCTAGGCACTGAGTACAGAAAAGATCAGAACCAAAGAGGACTTCGAGGCAAGCCAAGACAAAGATCACCCTGTGGAGAAAATTCGAAGTAGAGAAGATAGATGGTGTTGTACCAGTTATACTTCCTCCCAACTACACACCCTCATTGTGGCATTTGCAAACAACCTGTATCCTGGGATTGATTCCAGAGAGCAACTTGCTAAGGAAATTGGGGTTCCAGAGTCAAGAGTCTAAATTTGTTTTCAAAACCAAAGACCAAGATTCCATGTTCAGGGAAAAAAAGAACCTAATGAGCCTTTGGAACAGAAACAAAACCAGCAACAAATCTCTGACATGAGAGAGTTCAAGGTACAGAAACTTCACACAATGGCATCAGTCTAGTTAGTAACTGGCTTATTTCTCTGAGGCCAGAACAAGATGGACCAAGAGACAAATCAGTGCACTTGATGTCATTGGTCTGGGCTCCAAATCTCTCTTACTCTGCCTCGGAACATACCCTTCTAAACATACCTTCAGCTTCTCCAGAAGTTGAGCCTTCTGGGGATGGTCAATAGGACTTCAGGAGGGAGACAGACACTAGGAACCACACAGCCCTACCAATGGAGCTTGGCTCCACAGTTCACTGATGTCAAGGACCATGAAAAGAAACTTATTCATATCATTTAAAAAAAAGACAGCAGTATCTTACCAACATCAGTACTGTATATTATTAAAAGTGTGAAAACCACCCCTTTGAAACAAAGAGAGTTTTACATTCGTATAGTACCTTCTCCTATATTCTTTCGATATTAACCATAATTCTCTAAGGAGGCAGGGAAAATATGTTCTCACTTTTTATAGGAAGGAAACTGAGACCTGCAGGGCTTAGTGACTCACCCATCATCGCGTGCCTGGAGGGCAGCATTAGACCTTGGAGGGATCTGGACTGTGGAAATTGGAGTCTTGCAAGCTAGGCAGTATTTGTGACCATGCTAAGTATCAACAATGTGACTTTGGACAGTCTCGTATGTAAAATGAGGGCATTGGAATAAGGTGAACTCCAAGGTGCCGGCCTATTGTCTGAAATTCTCTTGCCTCTCCATACCACATGTTGCCTGGCACAGTCCTTACTTTTTGCCTGGAAGGCAGGAGGTAAAATGAATAGAAGTTTGAGGGTTGGAGGAAACCCTTCTGATGCATTGGTGTGTGTTTCTAGGGTGGTAACATTATACTTCAGCTGCTGTCAGACACCTTTCTGCCAAGTCATTTTCACAAACTTGAGACCCTTGGTTGCATTTTGATTTGAGGTTTGGAATTTGAAAATATGTTTATACTTAACCTTTGTGGTCTCAACTGTGGTATGGAGTGGTGAAGGTGGCCTTTGTGAATTTCAACAACCCTAAATATAGAAGAGTCAGCAGGAATGGTGAGGACTCCATATTTTATAAAGTATAAGTTATAGTTCTGTCTGATTTTAATTTTTAATTTTCAAAGTAGAGGTGTTAAACTCAAAATTAGGTTTCATATTAATTACAAGGCTCTTGACAAAGGTAACTTGTATTACATGTTCACTGTAGAAAATTTAAAAATAAAGAAAATTACGTAGGTGATTTCCTATAATATCTCAAAGATAACTGCTATTAAAATTTTATTGAAATTTCCTGGAATGTTTTTTATGTACCTATATATATTTGAAAACAAATTTAACATAATACTGTACATATGATTTGTAAACCTTTTTTATTGATAATGGTAAACTTTACTTCACTAAATATTCTTTCAAAAACTTTTTAAAATTGATTTTGAGAGAGAGAGGAAGGGAGAGGGAGAGAGAAACAGGAATGAGAGAGAAACATCATCAATTGGCTGCCTCCTGCATGCCCCCTACTCGGGACGGAGCCTGTAACCCAGGCATGTACTCTGACCAGGAATCAAACCAGTCACTTCTTGGTTCATGTGCCGATGATGTTCAACCACTGAGTGACACCAGCTGCGCACTAAATATTCTTTTAAAAAAGTATTAGATTTGAATTTGGATCTGGGACTCACCCAGTGTTCCAGTATGTGGATGCATCAAAAATCATTTAACCTATTTCCTATTGTTGGGTATATGGAATGCTTATAATACTTTGTTAACATAAAACCATATGTAAAAATACTCTCTTCTATAATTTCTTGACAGTGAGTGTATGAGATGTAAGTCTGATTTATCAAACAGAGAAAACTAAAGCTGGATTTCCTTTATTTATTTATTTATTTTTTTATAGTACCAGCAACCCTATTGGGCATTTATGAGAAAATAATAAACTATTCACTTACTATGTTTAATTGAAGTGGTAACACCAAAGGTTTAGGGAAAGCTTCCCCACTGTTACCATTGTGGGATCTGTTACGATGCTCTTGGCCTTTTTACACAGTTAGTGTCTTGCATAAACATCAAAGCAGTGGACTCATTTTTCCTTTCTGTTGACTCTCCTTTAGCCTGATGAAGTCCTCCGACATCGACCAGGATTTATTTACAGACAGTTACTGCAAGGTGTGCAGTGCACAGCTGATATCTGAATCTCAGCGCGTGGCCCATTACGAGGTAAGGACCACTTTTTCTGCCCAGTGTTTCCAAATGGAGGAAAGAGCAGCATGGGTTGTGGTTGTAGGACATGAGGGTGCCCCTTCTGGAGTTGGGGCAGGTTTTAAGAACCACAGGGCTTCATCCTTTGTGTTCTGAGCTCAGGCCAGGAGAAATGTGGATGTGTGGGGTTGGAAGTGAGGGCGGGGGACATCAGTCTCAGGCCCTCGCTGCTTCCCAGATTCTGGTTTTTCCTTTGTACCTCAGCCCCTCGAGGCTCAGTGTGTTTTCTCTGCTTGTTAAATCTGTCATTGCTCATCCCTGAAGTTCTTTTCAGGGACACGAGGCAGGATGCATTAGTGCCAGCTTCTCTTTTCTTCAATGACCCCAAAGATAAGCTCAGAGGCCCTTTGTTCCTCACTGCAGGGAAATATGGCAACATCGTGACTCAGTACCAAGCTCCTTCCACCTGGTGGCAGCTGCCCTAAATGTGTTTATCAGCTGAAAGACTTCCCCTGCAGAGTTATAACAAAGTTTGAAAGCCCAAATATTCTTGAAGGACATAATTCAGTGCCTTTAGTTCTTTAGCGTAGAAGGATAAATGGCTGCCTTTTGAACCTCTGTTGGGAAGAAAGGATGAGAGAAGAGAGGCTGGCTGGTGTCTGAGGAAGGAACAAGGTGCCATGTGTGAAAGAAAGGGGAAACAGGGCCCCCAGGGGCCTAGTGCTGCCCAGGGCCTGTTTACTTTTCAAGACAACATATATCACTGGGAACATGAGCTTTCTTTCTTTTTTTGTTTCTAAATTAAATTTATTGGGGTAGCATTGGTTAATAAGTTTATATATGTTTTAAGTGTACATTTCTGTGATGTGTGATCTGTAGACTGCATTGTGTGCCCACTACCCAAAGTCAAATCATCTTCCATCATCATATATTTGGGCCCCTTTACCTTTTACTCCCCCCTACCCCTGTCTCTCTGGTAACCACCACTGTTGTCCGTGTCTGTGAGCTTCAGTTTTACATCCCACATATGAGTGAAATCATTTGGTTCTTTGCTTTTCCTGACTGACTTATTTTGCTTAGCATAATATTCTCAAAGTCCACCCATGTCGTTGAAATGGCAGAATTTCATCTTTTTTATGGCTGAGTAGTATTCCATCATATATATATGTACCGCATGCATCTTTATCCAATCATCTATCAAAGAGTACTGTGGTTGCTTCCTTGTCTTGGCCACTGTGAATAATGCTGCACTGAACATAGGGGTGCACATATCTTTGTGAATAAATGTTTTCAAATTTTTCAAGTAAATACTCAGAAGAAGGATTGCTGGGTCATATGGTAGCTCTATTAATTTTTTGAGGAACCTCAATGCTGTTTTCCTTAGTGGCTGCATCAGTTTACATCACTACCAGCAGTGAATGAGGGTTCCCTTTTCTCCACAACCTCTCCAACACTTGCTATTACCTATTTTGTTGATAAAAGCCATTCTAATGTGAGGTGGTATCTCATTGTAGTTTTCATTTGCATTTCCGTAATACCTAGTGAAGTTGAACACCTTTACTTTTCATATATCTATTGGCCATTTGTATGTCTTCTTGGGAAACATATCTGTTCAGGTCCTCTGCCTATTTTTAATTGGATTGTTTGGTGTTGAGTTGTATGAGTTCTTTGTATATTTTGGATATTAACCCCTTGTCAGAGCTGTTGTTTGCAAATATCTCCTCCTAGTAGGTTGGTTGCCTGTTTGTTTTGTTGTCAGTTTCCTTTGCTGTGCAGAAGCTTTTTAGTTTGATATAGTCCCAATCATTTATTTTTGCCTTTACTTCCCTTGCCTTTGGGATCAAGTTCATAAAATGTTCTCTAAGACCAAGGTTTATAAGGTTAGTACGTATGTTTTTTTCTATGTAATTTATCATATTAGGTCTTATATTTAGGTATTTGATCTGGGTTTTGAATTAAGTTTTGCACATGGGGACAAGAATATAGTTTTAAATCTGAATTCCGTATTCTAGTTTTATTCTTTTGCATGTGGCTTTCCAATTTCCCCAAACCATTTAATTTTCAAGTGTAATAATTTGTAAGTAATTTTAGATTGGAGAGCTTAGCCAGCAATATTCTTTTTGTCTGACAAGTCTGACAAATGCCAGTTGTCACTGTCACTCATCAAACTCCTTTGAGCCTCAGAATCCTCTGTGCACAGTGAAAATAATAATAATAACATGCACATGTACACACCCAAAATGACAGTAAACTGACCCTGTGTACCTCTCAGGGTTTTGTGGCAACCCAATGAGACCTATTGAAATAGTATTTGTGCAAATGCTTTGGAAGCTGTAAAGTGTGCCACACATGCAAAATTATATTGTTTTTCATTATTAACTCTGTTGTAGCAATATTTTGTTGAAGGCAAATAAAACTTGCTCTTTGGAGAAAACTAAAAATTCAGCATCTATGTAAAAAGCATTTTCTTTTGAAAATAGGCAATTGAATGTTAGAAGTAAATGTGAATTCTAAAGAATTACCTAATATGGAAGATATCCATCTTTTGAAATTAAGAACTTTCTAGTTTCTGTGGATATTGCTTTATAAACACATATGGTTTTATTCTTTTGATTTCCCTAATTAAGGAAAATCAGGGAATCTGTCTTTGCTTTGAAACTCTATAGCTTCCTATCAGTCCTTTAGGTTCTCCCTTTACTAGATATTTTGTGTTCATTTTTAATCATTTTGCCAGATACTTGAGGACAGAAAAAGAATTTTATTCATTTGATCTTCCACAGTTCCTGGAATAGTGCCTGCATATCATAGATTGTCAGTTAATGTTTGTTTATAAAAATATCCTGGTGAGACTGTCCAGACCTGCTTTGTTGTTACCTGAGCTAAAAAAATAATGTCAGAACATTGAAAGCATCAAAAATATTTTTTAAAAGAAAAAATATCTTAGCTGAATGAAGGGTTTAGTTATTTGAACTCAAGTTTTCTTGTCACCACACTGTATCCCTGCTGTGGCACACTTTAATTGTTTAGAGGATGTGTTAGTATTTGTTTCATGTAGCATGGATGAGATAAAGAAAAGAAAGCAATCACAATAGATCTGCAATTAACAATGTTACACATCATTAAAACAACATTAAATGCATTCCCATTAACCCCGGATGGGAACTATGAATGATGTTTCACTCCCTGCCTCCAGGCAGAGGTGAGGCACTTCCTTCCGTGAGAAATGGCATGTGTGTTCTTGCTGCAAAGCTCCTTGCATGTGCAAAGGGCACAGTCAGGACTGAGGCCACCTTATGCTGTGAAGCTGGCCTTCCAGCTTCAGTTAGGAAACTGCCCCAGGACTTCTTCCTCTGTAAAAGGATGGCTCGCATCAGATGATTTTGAGGACCATTTGAGAACTGACGCTCTGATTCTGTTAATCTCCCCCCTCCCTCCACCACATCCTCTCTGCTGAAACTGCATATAGAATGGGTCCTATGAGTCTGAAGTCCCACTCAAATCATTGAAAGTGTCACACTTGTTCTCAAGGCTCTATCACTGATTTATTGCTTTAGTATGATTTTACTCTTCAGTTCAACCAGACAATATTCCTAGCTTCCCTATGGAGCTAATCATTGACAAGTTACTGTGTAGTTTCTGTGTGTCCTGTCCAGAACTATTATTGCTAGTTATGACGGGGTTCTGCAGCTACGTGAGAAATAATCTCTGCCCCCAAGAAGCTTATAAACTTCGTTGGAAGGAAAAGCCACGAATAGTTCGATGTGGTATAAATATTGTGTGATACTGAGAAAATAATCTGTAAAACTCTGCTGCCTTCTCCTAAGGAGCTGCTGATGGACTTTGACATAAACAGAATGTTAGTAGTTCTGCCCATTTGGCTTTCTGATATATGCTACATGGTGCTGTTAGCTTTTTAGATATTTGCATAGTCAAAATTCAAAAAAGTGAGTCATTACTAAGAGCTATTATGGTCAAGAAAGATTTGTGGGGAATGTCATGAATTATTGAGGCCTCAATAGATGGGTTAAGTATAGGGGTTGCTGGAATGAGAAGTCTTGGTATCTCCGGGAAGTGCTGAAGAGGCTTGGCTGTCTGGGCTGGAGGATTTTGGTAGGGAAGGGAGGGGGCAGGAGCACATACAGGTAGGGTGGGGTCAGGGCATAAAGAAAAGGGGTGTTTGGATTCTTATGAATTTCTTAGGCATTTGGGAGCATAAGAGTATAATCGAGCATCTCTGAATGACAGTCCATTGGTTGTGGTTTAGGTGTATTGAGAAAAGAATAACTTTTCATATGACTTATTCCATGAGACTAGGGTGCTAGTCCCCTGGAGCAAGAGAGAAAAACATAGCAGATGGGTTAATGCCTAATAGTTGCATGCCCCATTTAAAAGGCTGAACCTTTGTATAGCAGGACAGAAAAACCTAATATATGTCTAATGGACCAAACCTTTCCATGCTGTACTTTTAAAATCTCTTTTTGCATATGAAGTCCTGAGATGGAAAAAAAAAAAAAAAAAAGGGAAATGCCAGGGCATTATTATTTTTCTTACTTGCTAAGCATTACTAACATGTTAATGTTTTGGTGGAAACTATAATTAGATGTTATTTCTGCTCTCTGGATGAATAGTCTGAGTTAATAAAACAAGTAGATACAGACACAGAGGGGAAGGGCAAGCTTTCAAAAGAGAATGCCTGAGTGTTATAGAGGTTAGGCAGTGAGGCAACTTGAGTAGTTTGCTGTAGTTTCAAGTAGCTAAAGAATAATTTTCTGCAAAGGGAAAGAGTTGATTGCATGAGTGAAGGAGTGAATTTTTGGCATGTAGAAAGAAGAGGATTTGCATAGGGAAGACAATGAGAAATAAAACCAAAAGGACATAGAGATTATTATTATTATTATCACTCTGAGTGAAGTTGAAGGAAGAAGGTGAATGAGCAGATCTAGGAGGAAAGAGAAAACTCTTGTTAGGCAGGCCCAATGAAACCAGCCATAAATGTGCCAATCCCTATTGCTTACCCT